CGCTATGGTCGTACCAACGTTTGTGGACTTGTAAGGATTCGTCGTTATATTATATCTTTACTAATCCCATATTATGATATCTTCTCACACGATCCGATAAATCGAGAGCATACTAGTTGATGGCTAATCATTATGGACTACAATAAGATGACGGGATTGTTGCATACAGCAGAGCCAAGCATTTGATTACGGTTGGCAAATCATGCGATATGGAACATGAAGACGTTGCCCCCAGACTCGTACACGTAAAGGGATGTGAAAAGCGAGAATGGTTGACGAATCTTCTGGATGACAATGTGAAAAGTAACCTGATCATCGAGATCTTGGACGCGGATTATGAGGACATAGTTTCTTTGGACAAACTAGATGCAACCAAAATTTTACGATGTAATAATCACATTAAGCATTGCGCTTTACAGAATGTATTAAAAATATTTAAATTGTGGTCTCAGTGCCGGAGAGAGTTGTAAACCTTTATTACACAAAATAAACATTTTTTAAAATATATTAATGTCTCTTCTCTCTTTTACTTTCTCTTTCCTAACCAATCTTTGAAAAAAAATATCTACGTAGGTAAATATGCGATAATTTTGTATCTCGTAATTATCGCTGATATACTATAGGTATACAATAGCTCGAAAGCATACGATAGTGTATGTTTAAAGATAAATTTTTATTGCATAGCTGCAAAGTTTCGGAGGGTAAACTCTACTACCTGAAAAGATTTGTCCTCCTCAAAATATCTCGAACTCTTTCTGGAATATTCGAGAATATTCTAGAAGGCGGCGCAGACGAGTGGCACGAGCCGGAGAGGGGAAAAGGCCGTCGAAAATCTACCGCGATCGAAACGCGGAGAGGGGAAGATCGCAGGATCGATAAAAATGATCAATTATGTCGGTAAAAATAAATAATCAATTATGTCGGTAAAAAAAATTACGTCAGTAAAAATTATGTTAAAAAATATGTCGATAAAAATTATGTTAATAAACAAATATGCCGGTAAAAATATCGGTTAAAAATATATTGGTAGAAAATTACCGACCGTTGATAACCCCCCTTCCCCGCGTGACATCATACCCCGCTCCTTAGGTACACCCCTCCCCATGTGACGTCTTATCCCCGCGCCCGCGGTACCCCCCTCGGAGGACCATGGGTTAGAATCCCTGCTCGAAATCTATTCGCAGTTAATTGGAAAATCATAATATTGATGTAACGTTAATTATTGATGTTTATTGATGTTTGTTGATGTTTGATGAATAACAGTTCTCTTTTAACTGAAATAATTAAAATATATTCAGCTTTTCATTACATAAAAGAAGAAAGGAATCCAAGATTGTACAAGTATCATATAGAATAAAGAAAGAATTATATTAAAATAGTCATATCTTTAGGTTATAAAGTAGCACAATTGATCAGGTCAATTAAAATACGCTGATTGGCTGGATTCAAGCCTCGTCCCCTACTCCCTAAACATCATCTACACAAGGGGGGGAGGGGGGCATATAAGGACTACTTTTACCCAAGGGAGCTCAGTATCAGAGTTCTCAGCCCTGATGATGCAAACTGCAACGTTTGCGAAACGTCGGCATATCGCTGATTCAAGACACGGCTCCATTCCGGAAGCTATACCTAGACATTGTATCAATGGCCGTGAAAGCCTCAAATCTAGTATAACAATATACACACAAAACACTGAAAATGATATGTGTATCTGCTGCACGCAGCCACAAAAAATAATTATAACAAACAAAACACTTATAATTCTTCACGAATTTTCAGAGTATTCTAGGAATTAAGTCGTAAAGTATTCGCTACAATTAACTTCTAAGAAATACTTCAAGACAAACTTATTATGGTTACTTCTTCACGAATTCTTTAGATACTCATTTTTCTACTTCTGTGTGTATTGTTTAAAATGAATTCTCTAGGAACTTCTGTTCATCTTTGTGCTATCTGGGCATACAAACAATTATTTTTCCGTACAAAATCAGTAATTATCTCATCCACACTCAATGAATCCATAATGAGATATCTAGGCTGCGTTCGGAAACGTCACCCGAGTACTCTTCCTCTCTTTTTATCTCACTCTTATATTTCGCTCACTCCAACGGCTATCGTCTAGTAGTGTGCACACAGTGCGTGTTTCCGAACGCAGCCATAATAATATCAGTAATGTAGGTTATGTTGCAGCCAATCGTAATCGTACAGAACGGAAAAGATGGGAGTTGATCATCTTTCTTTCCGACACTGACGGCCGGCTTACGACACTGCCGACATCTTTATGCGACACCCGACAGCTCAATGCGCATGCGCTCGACATCCGGTTCCAGCTTAGAGCGTATTGTAAAACGGGCCTAAGAAGAATTCGTCTCGAAAAACAAATTCTGGAGGTCGATTGTGTATCTCGAAACGGAATGAAAATTACAAAAGTGAGCAAATTCACTAGACATTGACCAATGAAGTTATAAATATTCTAGTAAATTTGTTCACTTTTGTCATTTTCACTCTGTTTTGAAATACACAATCGATCTCCTGTGTGTACGGGTAGAACGGATCAAAATAATCATAAAAGTTATATATCATTTTGAAGTTTTCTCAATATTTATTCCGTAATTAATTAAAATGTATAAACGAATAAGTGTACGAGAAGCGGTAGGACAGGTTCTGTGTGTAAAATAAATAGCTTACCTCTTATAAACGATGAGTAAACAGCTGATTTCGAGGCGGAGTAACAAGCGACACGTATACATTACTTCGCTTCGAAATTAGCTATTTACTCATCGTTTCTAAGAGGTAAGCTATTTCTTTTACACACAGAGCCTGTCCTACCGCTTCTCGTACGC